CAAAAAAAGAAACTGTCCAGATGACCTGACTGAAAAATGTTGGATTCACTTTATATCATTCACAATGTACTGTCATAGGATTTAAATCTGGATCTGCTTTGGACTATTTTCTATTCTGTATAGTTCCCTGGGATGACGTTTGTTCTGTATAGTTATGTAAAAACAAAAAATAAACACCAAAACTACAATTGTGATTTTTTTTCTTCCCTCATCCAAATTTTGCTACAAAAATGATTTCCTACTTAAATAAATGTCTCAAAGTAGTTGTTTATTTCATAAAATGTTTTTTAAGCAGCCAAACAGTGAATTGTAAATAATTATGAGTTGAACATGAAAAGAACTGCTGTTCATGGCACGCTCGTCTTGCTGCTCACCATGTTTCTCCTCTTCCTCGTAGCATGTTGAGTGACGTCACCAGATACCTCCCATACGCGGAAATTTCTCCTCTTCCTGCAGCAGCTGGAGTACAGGGTGTAGCGCGCGCATGGTTCCAGTCCTCTCTGCGCTCCGCACCGTGCGTCACGCGCCACAGAACGCAACGAGTTTGATTCACATAACAAACAAACAAACAAAAACAAAAAAAATATTAGACAAACGGACTATTTGTTAAAGCTCGTTCAGGGTTATCTTTCCCTCTCTGCGTCGGAGCTTTTAGGGCAATAACTCCAGGTAACGTCGCGCCATGGACTTTTTATGTAAACTGGACTTTAAAAAGTAAAAGAATGTGGATTTATTGCATGCATTTAAACGTGTTTAATGAACTTTTCTGTTTTGTTTTATGCTCCAGATGTCAGCTTAATGGTTTCAAGTAAATAAAATTAATGCAAGAACGAACTTTTAGCATTAAATCGTGTGTAGAGCTCAAATAAACCAATAAAGTTGTTGCAAAGTGTATTTAAATGTAACCATGACGGGATGCCTCAGCCATATAATACTATTTGTTCCTCCTCTCCTCAGCGCGCAGAGGAGTCGGCCCAACAAGCCGCGCGCACTGATCCTCCAACTCCAACATATTTCCTCCCGAGATGTATAGTTGTATTTGCATGCGCGCGGTGATTCATAAACATGTCAGCGTGGTGGAAATATATGGGGGGTATTAAAACTTTATATTTAAATATCATGAATTATAGTCGCCAAAAAGAAGAAGAAGAAGGAAAAAAAAAAAGTGTTCCTATTTAAGAGGAATGCGGAGTATTTTGGTGTCTGGGGCAGGAGCCCATTTGTCATGCGGACAATAAAGAGGGTTTTCGGCTGACAGTGGAAATTTATGGTTGCCCTTCTTTGCCCTAATAACTCACATATTGTGTCAGGGACTGACATCCCTTGCAGAAAAAGCAAGCCTGTTATCAATCACACATCTTTGCATATTGTGAAACGTTTTTATTTTTTATTTTTTTTCTTTCCCCACAAATTGGAAACATTTGCGTTTTTTTTTTTTAATAAGTAGGAACGCTTTATTTAGAACAGAAGATTTATTTAAAAAAAAAATACACGTTGTAAAACTAATGTGTGTTTATTTTATTTTTTAAAGCAGAGCAGTTTAGGCCTAAGTCCCCCCCCCCCCCCCCCGGAAATTGTATTTGTTAATAACTTTTATACGTGCGTAAAATGTTTATTTGCGCCGCGCCCACGTGGCTGAAATTCCATTTTGATTACTTCAAAATAATAATAATAATAATAATAATATTAAAATAATAATGAAACATGTCCCCCTCTTTACTGTCCACTCCAGGTTTTCTTGCTCTCCAAGTCGACCTGTCAAGCAGATTACCACAGAAGGAGATTAATGGCGGAGGCGGGCTGCAATAATAATCGTTTTGTTTGATGTGACAACTTTGATAGGCGTTGATTTACTTACAAACTGATAGGCTTTTAATTGAGCGCCTCCATCCTCGATTGAGATGAAAGGAAAACACACTCACACACACTCTCACACACACACACACACACACATTGAAAGGCTGCCCGTTTGCCCCGGAGCCTCAATACTGATTAGCCATCTCAGCGGTGAATAGTTCAAGGCATCTGAAACTTCTTTTCTCGGTGCTCCTGACAGACCATTCCTCTTCTTTTCTCCTCCTCCTCCGCGCTCCTCTGCCTCTTAAGGAGAAATAAATCATTTCCATTGTATGTAAATAAAAAAATCGAGCTGGCATCAATACAAAATGTGTGGATTTCTTTGCTCCCCATTATTGTCATTATTCGTCTTTTTGTAGATGACAGCTTTTGACAACACAATGGATTTTAAGTATGTTACATTATTAAAGTTAATAATTAGCCCTTTATTTGTTTTTTTTCCACCTCTCCACAAAAAAATGTACTTAATAAGCAAAATGTTTTCAATATAAATAATTAGATTTTTGTCGTTTTACGCATTTCCTCACCATTTCCCCCCCGCGTTTTTTTGAATTTTTAACATTTTTATGGCACACAACCCCCCCCCCCCCCCCCCTTCCATGCTTCTTGTTAACACCATAATCGGTGGGTTATAGCAGACGCACATTTTAGCACCTAAAAGCACGAGCAGCTCTTGCAACAACACGCGAAGCCCTGCAACTTATTAAAGTTTCCTCACCATCGTTTTGGAGGTGTTTTATGGGCAACTCCAAAAAAAAAAAAAAAAAAAAAAAAATCCCTGGCTCTGTTTAATAAGCTTGCACGTGAGCTTTAATCTATTTTGCCTCTTGAACTCAGAAGGGAGGATGCTTCTAATCGATGCAAAGCTCCTGCACAGAGTGTCTCCCTCCCCGTTCTTCTTCTCGCAACACTTGCATGTAATCAGCCACAATGGCTGACATAAATCAAGCGGAGGATTGACAGCGTCTGACAAACACCTGATTGATTGCGGCGGAGCAGAATTGACACTTGACGGAGGGGTGGAGATGGAAATAGAAGGGCGGTGTGTATTATACTGAAAACATGTGACACTCGCATCCCTCCATCACTACATTGGTCTATTCCTGTCAACGCTTGTCTGTTTAGGGAATTCAAGCAGAAGTGGTTGGTTTTATGGTTGCCTGTAAAGAATGCGTGCGGACTAGGCCATGCAACAAAAAGGGGGAATTTAAATTAAATGGCTGACCTTTATTGGGAAAATGGTGTGTAGTATTAAAGTGGCTTTAATATACTCCATGCACTGTCGTGAAAACAGCTGGAAAATGTCAGGAACCAAATCCACACACTTTTGTTCCCCTTCACACCGTTATTGTGTCCTTGAATGTAAAATTTGGAAGCAAAATTCGTGACTGGATGACAACGAAGAGTCGGAGACTGAAAATAGGCCACATCCATGGAAGAGCCGCTTAAGATGGAGACGTTGAACAACTTTGATGTGTTAGTGCGCACTGACGCTCAGATTTGTAATGTATGCAGACAAACAGGTTAGGTTGAAACTGTAAACTTTCCGGTGACACAAAGATTTGCAAAAAAGTGCGTTTGAATGCCGAGTTCTGGCTTTATGGCGCCCTACCCCCTGATATTTATTCTTTGAAGATCCATCTCTATGTATTTATTTATTTATTTACGTTTACCGACAAAGTAACTTTTACATGTCCACATAAACATCTTCTCCTGATGTAAGTCAGCCACATGACTCGAGCTTCCACCAACAAGAGTGCTTTGTTTACATTGAGTGCGTACCCACATTTCAGTAACGCAATTTATGTTTGCTTTATATTTCTAAATGAATACCTACATTAAGATGATCATGTTCACTTAAACTGGATGAATATGTGTTGGAGTGATTTTACAGTGGTGAATTTGTGTTTTGAGGTTTTAAAAGAAAGGGATTATTATGTTTTCAGACGCCAGGGCGTCATCTGTGCAGGCGTTCACAGCAACCTAAGTATTAATTCCCTCTCTCCTCCCCGGAGCTGTCAAAATAGAGGCGCTTACAAAGAGGAGAACGTCACATCCCCTTGACCCTCCAATCACCTCAGGGTCCCATTTGATTGGAAGGCGGCAACGGCTTTAATCTCGGACTAATTCAGCTGCTTTTGAAGTGAACATTCCTACCAGTTCCTGCTTCGGGAGGACAGAGCGAGGACCTGCACGCAGACGCGCACTCGAGGCGCAGCGCTCATGGTGCCAGACGCAGCCACGGATCTGCGATAAGCTCTCACCGTCTCCTCTTCCTGCTGCCGCGCCTTCCACCAGGATTACACGATATTGTTGTTATTATTACGGCGTTTTTCTAAACCCTTCACCCCCTCCCCACGACTGAGAGACTCGGCGATTTCCTTTTCGGTTTTCTTAATGAATCTGATGAAAGCATCGCCACTCCATTTCCTGACAATTGGGACATGATCACGTCGCCCTCGGCGTCTGCCCTGAAAAATCGTGATCTTTGTCTCGCGTGGGAAAGCAGCAGCTCTCGGAATAGCAGCTCGTCCAGCATCAACAAGCCTTTTCTTCACTCCGCACCCCCGTCGGATCCACTACGGCAAGCCAAGCGACTCCCCATCAAGGTTTTGAAAATGCTCACGGCACGATCCGGACACATTTTGCACCCGGAGTATCTGCAGCCGTTACCTTCCACCCCGGTCAGTCCCATAGAGGTAAGGGGAGTTCATTTGTTTTGTTTACGTACGCAATTATTTGTTTATTTTCTTATTATTTATTCTGCCGTGTGGTCCTGGTGTTTAAAATGCGCACAGGGTGGTTTAAATGTGAGTATTGTTTGAATTTAAGTTAAAAAAAACGAGCGAAAAGCCGTGCGTAAAAAGTAAAAAAAATCCGCGTAAACGCCCAAAACACCAGCCGCCTCCAAGTCTGTACATTTTATCATCATGGAGGAAAACTCTTTGTTTGTTTTAATGACATGTATCGACTCGTATTTCTTCTTTATTTCACAGCTTGATGCCAAGAAAAGTCCGCTTGCTTTGCTGGCTCAGACCTGCTCCCAGATCGGCAAGCCCGACCCGCCGCCCTCCTCCAAACTGTCCTCCGTGACGCAGAACGGATCTAGTGAGAAGGAATCTAAATCCGGCCCTTTAAAGATGAGCGACATCGGGGTGGACGACAAGTCCAGCTTCAAGCCCTACTCCAAGCCCGCGGACAAGAAGGACTCGTCTTCGGGCGTCCCGGGCGGAGAGAAGTCTGGTTTCCGAGTGCCGAGCGCCACCTGCCAGCCGTTCACGCCGCGGACAGGCAGCCCCAACTCCAGCACCTCTGCCTCCCCCATGCCATCGGAGGGGAAGTGCGGGGAGAGGGACGACAAGAAAGAGTCTGATTGTAACAAAAATGGCACCGCGGACGGCTCTGGCACCACGAGCCACAGCAGGATAAGCGTGAGTTGCGGTGGGATTAACGTGGAGGTCAACCAGCACCAGGAGGCGACGCCTGGCACCAAGACCTCCTCCTCCTCCGAGTCCTCCTCTGTGACTTCTGTTTCTTCCGCGTCAGTGCTTGGTTCTGGACTCGTGGCGCCGGTTTCTCCCTACAAACCCGGACAGACGGTGTTCCCTTTGCCCCCTGCTGGCATGACGTACCCGGGGAGCTTGGCTGGGGCCTACGCGGGTTACCCCCAGCACTTCCTGCCGCACGGAGGGAGCCTGGTGAACGCGCAGCTGGCTAGTTCTTTGGGCTGCAGTAAGAACGGATCCAGCCCCCTGGCGGGCGCGTCTCCTCCGTCCATCATGTCAGCCAGCCTGTGCAGGGACCCCTACTGCCTCAGCTACCACTGTGCCAGCCACTTGGCGGGCGCAGCCAGCGCCTCGTGCACGCACGAGTCTGCAGCTGCAGCCGCTCTCAAGTCCAGCTACCCCCTCATGTACCCGACACACCCCATACACAGCGTGCACTCCTCTGCGCCGTCGTTCAGCGGACACCCCCTGTACCCGTACGGCTTCATGCTCCCCAATGACCCTCTGCCCCACGTTTGTAACTGGGTGTCTGCAAACGGACCGTGCGACAAGCGCTTCTCCACCTCGGAGGAGCTCCTGAACCACCTGAGGACACACACTGCGTTCACCGGGGCCGAGAAGCTCATATCCGGGTACCCCGGGTCGTCATCGTTGGCCAGCGCCGCAGCGGCGGCCATGGCCTGCCATATGCACATGCCACCGTCAGGAGCCCCTGGGAGCCCCGGGACTTTGGCTCTGAGGAGCCCGCATCACGCGTTAGGACTCAGCAGCCGCTACCACCCTTACTCCAAAAGCCCCCTGCCCACCCCTGGTGCCCCTGTCCCTGTCCCCGCAGCCACCGGGCCCTACTACTCCCCTTACGCACTGTACGGCCAGAGACTCACCACAGCCTCAGCGCTGGGCTACCAGTGAGGGGGGGCTGACAAGGACTTTGAGAGGTTTATAGAACTAAGAATGCAAATATAAAGTCTTTTATAATAACTGCGCTAAACTTATGGACGGGATCCGTGGACTTGAACTGTATTTATTTATATGTCAGGTGACAGCTGCATATTCAGACAAATATTTGAGCAACTCAAAAAGTGCATTATGTGGAAACTGATAGGAAAAGCAAAGACACAGTTAGGATACTAATTAAAGTAGGGATCTTTATTTCGATGTTCATTTGAAAATTGCTATGATTGTATTTGTTCTTATTTAATGTCCCGTTGAGAAGGAGGAGGAGGGAAAAGAAGAATTTCCATGCATGTATGTTTTTTCTTAAAATTTCAAAACAACTGTTCACATTTAAAAATTGTCATTATTTTTCAGGTGTACCAGATGGAGAGAGAATTGGTATTTTTTTGTATGTATTCTGGAGAAGAAGAAAAAAAACAACAACAAAAGAAAGAAATAATTCTGTTCCATATCTTCGTGTGCCTCTTTTTCTGGAGTCTTAACTTTGGAGAAAACAGATTTATTTTCCACGGACATTTTTTTAAATTGATCTGTTTAATGATTTAATCCTGCTTCATCATTTTCAGGCCTTTCAGATTAATTTAAGTTCTATTTTTTTCTCTTTAAAGTCTTAAAACTTCAATCATAAATATGAGCTCGTGTGTGTGTGTGTGTGTGTGTTTTCAACAGACTTTTGTGCAGCAGAATACTTTAAAGTTGGTTAAATTTTGGTTAAGAAGGCTGAACATGTTTTTGTTGAATTAATTACATAAATGCAAAACAAAAGGCCTCAAAAATGTTCAACAATTCAGATTTTCCTATTTATGAAAACATAACTTTGTGTATTTAAAAATAAATATAAAAAAATCAATCAAACCATATATTTTACAGCTAGCCTTTAAAGTGAACATGTTAAAATTAAATGCAAATTTAAAAATAATTACCAACATTTAATTTCTTCTTGTTCTTAAATTTGTCTATTTGCACCAAATAAACAAGTGACAGGAAGACTGGAAAACTTTGAGGAGGATTTACCTTTTTAATTTTTATTTTTTTTATTTTGACTGAGTCCTTGTATTTTGCATTTGATAATCTGCACCCACTTGTAAATCTAATGTACAACCACCAAATTTTGTTATTAAAATCATCTGATTTGTGCAAAGTTTGTTTGCAAAAAAAAAAAAAAAGCCTTCAGCTGCAGTTTTTATTGAACAACTCTGAATTATTTGGATTCATTTTTGTTGAAAGCAGTGCCCCCCCCCCCCCCCCCCAAAAAAAGAAAAAGTATAAATAAAATAAAAAAAATCATGCAGCTGAACAAACTGTATTATGGCAAAACTGCGCGCCAAATGTGCGTTTGCGCAGGTTATTGTAGGCAGCGCTCATTTTGACGCACTTTTTTTTTTTTTTTTGCAGTCTGCGCATTTTCATGACTTTTCTCATTATTATTATTATTTTTACCAAACGCGCAAACTTTAAATCCAACATAAACAGTTGCGTGCACTTTTTTTTCCCTTAAAGGTGCTGCTTCACCCTGACCCATCAGTGCGTTTGGACGCGCGGCTGCAGCTGTATCACAATTATCACCATCACTATTGAGAACACCTCCTCACTCACTCCTGTCGCTCACTTAAATAAAAAAAAATCCTCTTCCTCGCGCGTATCAGGCCCACACGCGTCCTAAACTGATGTAATGACGGTGAAAGGGAGCAATTTCCATTTTTACCCACATCATGGTGGCTATGCTCGGAGGTCCCCCAGTGGAAGGCAATTTATCATGCGCCCCTCCCCCCCACCCCCCGGCCCTGTCACTGGAGGAACAGGCAGGCACATGTGTGCATGAATTATCGAGCCTCCCACCTCCCCAGCTCTTCCCTCTCTCGCGCTGATTTGACACCGAGGAGAGACAACATGGGGGGGATTAGAGCATGCAGGAGTGCTAAAGTACATATTCACTTTGTCTATCAAGGCCTAAAAGTGCTTAGGTGTTCACTGAGCTCTACAGTGAGGGGGGTGGGGGTGGAGGCATGAGTGGGAACTTCAGGTGTAAGATGGTATTTTAATGAAGTGTATTTTTGGCCCTGCATGTGTTTTACTCAATCCAGAGTCTGGTTAAACACAAGAATTCATTATTTTTGACAGAATTCACAGAAAAATCAAATAAGAAAAATTAGAAACTTTGAAAAAAAAAGTGGTGGTGGTGGTGGTGTCAAGCTGACAGAGTAACAAATTTGGAGGCCGCATACGCAATGAAAGACTTCAGGTTGGAGATAAACCAGTTCCTCTGTCTCACAGTTGAGCTAACGGGGATAAAATACAGCCACGAGAGTATTTCAACAATGTAAACCATATAACAAATAAAATAAAACAAAAACACATTTCTTCTTCTAACGCAAACTTTTGGTGGAGATCTGAAGCGGCCATTTTACATTCCTTGGATGGGCTTCCTCAGAGGGAGAATGGCGCTGCACGAAACCCTGGCAGGACATCTGGCAGCAGAGGGAGAACAGGACGTGACACACACACACACACACACACACACACACACACACACACACACACACCTAACCCTCAGTTGTGCTGAATTACCACCACTAAAGCTGTCATTAGTGGGTGTGTGGTACAATAAAAAGACACAGCACTGTCTGCAGAGGCAAATCTATAGTTTGGCTGAACAGCTGTGTCAATATGAAGAAACTCTTATATCAGTCAGCTTTAAACTAACTCTGCCATGCTAAACCAGACAAAGTGATCATAATAAATGCATTTATTTTATTTTGTAAAAAAATAAAAACATCACTGTTATTTTTCTCGTAGAGAATGAAATGCTTACACATTTGGTTCTATGCAGCTATAGGCCTTAACACTTAGCTGAAACTCTTGACTTTCGTTACACCAACATGTGGTTGTGCAGACTTGAAGCGACTGCGGAACAAAAGTAAACAAAGCAGGGACTCGCTGCTGGAAACAGATCCACCGGTTTAGGCTAATCCAAGCTAAATCTGTCTTTTATCCGAGAAGATTAATTCAAAATGAGCTCTGTTGGTCATGCATCATATCCACCAACACTGAAAAATCCTCCCCTCTCTCTGTCTCTCTCTCTGACTGATACTGGTAGGCAGAACCCAACTGAGTGCAGTAATGGAGGTAATTTGGTTCTCAAAATCTGTGCCAAGAAGACAGGATCCCCTCCCAGCTCCTCTCCACGTGGTTACCCTCCTCATTGATTTACAAATGTAAAGTGCTCATCCAGGTGATGTGGGAGAAGTGGCAGTGTTGATCTATCTGCGCCACTCACATCTCGAACCAGCGAGACACTTTCTTGAGCTCAGACAGCCTAATTGAGGTCATTTCTGTCCGCTCGGGGATCTCCGGTGCACTGGGGGTGTTTTAGTGTTTAGATAATTTGCCCATTTTCTGATTCTGACAAAGAATATTTTATGGAAATGCACCCTTGTTCCAGGCACCTTAATGGAGGAGCGTGCCAGATGAGGTGGTTGCCTGTCAATGGCAAATGTAAAAAGCAGAGGAAATGTCAGGAATGCTTCGAGGGGCTCTTTGGCTTCATTTTGGCTCCATTCAACACCTGAATACGACAGTATGTTTTTAGTGAGCAACAGCACACAATTACTGTCTAATTCTACGTTTGAAGCTATGTGTTTTTTATAGAACCTCAAGGTGAATGCCCTTAATCTTCAAATAAAGCCATTCTAAAGTGATTATCTGATTAAACAAAGTTTTACTTCACAATAAATAAATAAATATGTTGCAGGATTTTTTTTTTCTCTTCGATGAGTAAACCATGACATGACAGTGACTACATAATTCCATATGGGTGTGGGCTTCCAGGAACTGAGACTCATGATCACTATTTGCACTCTTGTAATGAATGTGAGAGCATTTTTCCAAATGATTTGTTTCCATGTAAATGTCCACAATCACTGTGACTGGAATAAAACATAATGTAGTCGTTTATTATGGTGTTATACACATGTTTCTACTGTCCAAATCTGAAATGAAAGGCTCTGGTAAAATGATCTTAAACTCGGTCTGTTACAGGTAAAATGTGGGGGAACATGGTTTAAATGCAAACACAGTAAAAGCCTTTAAAAAATACTTCAAAACAAATCCGTCCACAAGAATTATTATTATTATTATTTTTTGCAATTTACAAAAAATTATCAGAATTTTATTAACTGTGTTAGAAGATATTAAAAAAGTTTAGTCATACAGTACAAATGGCCTATTTACACTAAAAAGATGAATAAATTTGCTCAAGGAAGTATACTCCATTTATTAAACGAAATAGTGGGTTTCAAATCAAAATTCAGGCCAAGAGCTTCATTTTTGAACTGGTTAAATGGAGACAAAACAAATGCGTGTTTATATTTTTCATATATATCTGTAACTCTTAGTTCTTGAGCTTTAAGGTCTCATCATAGGAGAGCAGAATTAATATAATTTTTTTTATGGCTTACAGCAGCTCCATAAATCCCCATCCTGTGAACGTGTTGGCTTGGATAAGGAGTGTGACCGTTTGACTTTCTGACCTTTCTTTTAGTGGAAAAGCTTACTTAGTAGGTGTCGCCGAGGCTTGATCCACCTACACATAAAAATTAATGGCTGGATGCAAACAGCTCAAGTGGATTCTCAAATAGATTTCCAAAGAAAACAGCAAAGTCAGGTGGGCGGATCTTGCATCAGCTGAACCGGTTGATACAACAGGTTACACTGCAAAGCATCATTAGTGTTCGGTTTATGGTGTTTGGCGGGCGGTGGAGATTGTACAGTGGCTAACATTATCATCTTTTTTATGGTTCTAAAAATACTAGATCTTATTGATATTTGACAAATTAGTGTTTTCTGATTGCTTTCAAACATGGAGAAACTGAATCTAAACCTGTCTTTCTAACCTGATCAAGGTCAAGGTCAAGGTTCTTTATTGTCATTCGCATCGCATGTGGTACATGTGGTGGAGTGAAATTGTGCACACAGGGTCCCAGTTACACCTATCACAAGTATAAATGGTAAGGAAAAACCGTAATAAGATCTAATATGAACTAAGAAACACGCTAAACTTAGAATACGCTAAACACTAATAGTACAAAAACAATACGCTGAACAGCAGCAGCACGAACAAGAGTCTGTGTGAGCAGATGAGTACAAATGAACACAGCAACATGAAAAAATCAGCAGTATGAGATCAGCAGCATGGATAATAAGCAGCACATATCAACAATCAAGTGGCATTACAGTGAATTTTTTTCACAGTGATTAACCTGGTTAGAGATTCATGAGTCTAACAGTTTCAGGGTAGAAGCTGTTCCTCAGTCTAATGGTTCTACACTTAATGCTCCTTAACCTCCTGTCTGAGGGAAGCAGAGCAAAAAGTGTGTGTGCTGGGTGAGTGGGGTCCTTCATGATGCAGGTGGCACTCTTCCTACATCTGGAGGTGTAGATGTCTATGATGGTGGGGAGACTGACTCCAACATCTTCTGTGCAGCCTTCACCACTCTCTGAAAAGCTTTTCTTCCTGCAGCTGTGCAGCCTCCATGCCACACACTGATGCTGGAGCACAGGATGCTCTCCACTGCACACCTGCAG